CATGAGGAAATAATCTGCCCATAAAATGAAGTGGAGGTTGGGTGTGGCGGCTCACGCCTATAATCCCAACACTTTGGGAGGCTGAGGCTGGTGGATCATGAAGTCAGGAGATCGAGACCATCCTGGCTAACACGGTGAAACCCTGGCTCTACTAAAAATACAAAAAATTAGCTGGGCATGGTGGCACATGCCTGTAGTGCCAGCTATTTGGGAGGCTGAGGCAGGGGAATCTCTTGAACCCGGGAGGCGGAGGTTGCAGTGAGTCGAGATTGTGCCACTGCACTCCAGCCTGGGCAACAGAGTGAGACTCTCTCTCAAGAGAAAAAAAAAAAAAGAAAAAAAAAGAAGGTGTTAGTTTTATTAGTAGGTGAGATCTTGACTATGTTCTAGATATGACATATGGCCAGAAATAGGGAATTATTCTTATGACTCAATAAACTTCTTAAATTGGGTATAAAATATGTTCCTTCCAATTTCACTGTGAGACTAGTGAGTAACAATATAATTTAACACCAAACCCATCTCAAGTTTAACTTATCTAACACCAAAGAAAAGCTGACTTTAAGTAAACTATTTCATATTTTAAATGTAATAGGGTAATTTCTATTTGAAAAAGCATGCTTTGATGAGCAAAGATCATTTCTAGACACAGTGTACAACTTACCATTTTTAATGTTGGGCTTTTAAAAGAGTAGATATTCAAGTGGGGCAAGTAGAACATGCTGGGAATGATTTTCACAATCCAGTAATTGACACTATATTAGTCAGAGATAAGGAAGCTCCCTGAAATATTGGTCCAACATTCGGACATATCTAACAGAAGAGTCAAAATTGAGAGAGACAAATAAGGACAACTGGTTCCTTTTTTTTTTTTTTTTGACAGAGTCTCACTCTGTCACTCAGGTCTGTCACCCAGGCTGGAGTGCAGAGGCCTGATCTCAGCTCACTGCAACCTGCACCTTCCAGGTTCAAGCGATTCTCCTGCTTCAGCCTCCCGAGTAGGTGGTACTACAGGTGCATGCCACCATGCCCAGCTAATTTTTGTATTTTTAGTAGAGATGGGGTTTCACCATGTTGGCCAGGATGGTCTCAATCTCTTGACCTTTTGATCTGCCAGCCTCAGCCTCCCAAAGTGCTGAGATTACAGGCATGAGTCACCGTACCTGGCCTGCAAGATTTATTTTGCTACCAAAAAAATCAGATTATTTGTCACTTTTCATTTAAGTGTTTTAGTTTTTTCTGACTATATTCAAGATGCAATAATAAAGACTAAATTGTTCTATTCTAGGATTACAAACTATGCTTAATTTACTTACCCATTGCAAGAAAAAAACTGCTTACAAACTGCTTAGAAATCTAATATATATTTAATTAAATAAAAATAATGTAAGACATTTCTAATGAATACCATGGATTAGCCTGTTTACCAAGAATGATTACCCAGAAAGTAAATACGACATTAAGCCACTGCATGTTTACTGCAGTTTCAATATTAGGTACAAGAAAGGCGTAATAGCCTTTCAGTACTCCATAAAGCAGCAATGGACACAACTTTCAGAAGTTTCAAAGGTTACTCTACAACACTGAGTACAGATATTGTCAAACTCAAGGACTTAATTTGGTGTATTATGTATGCTTTCAGTTACATAAATTGGTCTAATAAGCAAATGAGTTAAGAGGAAGCAAAAATTTAGGATTTGAAAGAATGAACAGCTGAAATCTATAGCTCAAAGATAAGAGGGACTACAATAATCTTGTCTGTCACCTAGGGTGGCGTACAGTGGCAGGATCAGGGCTCACTGCAGCCTTGACTTCCAGGGCCCAAGTGATCCTCCTGCTTTAGCCCCTTGAATAGGTGGGACTTTAGGTATGTGCCACTACACCAGGCTAATTTTCTGGCGTGTGCCGAGTAGGGGGGTAGTTTTAGTAGAGATGAGGTCTCCTTATGTTTCCCAGGCTGGTCTCAAACTCCTGAGCTCAAGTGATCCTCCTGCCTCAGCCTCTCAAATTGCTGGGATTACAGGCATGAGTCACTGCACCTGGCTCCAATGAACTCCTTAGCCTGAGTTTCCTCACATGCAGAAGGGAAATTATCCTTACACCTCATAGAATTGCTAGGGAGACTAAATGAGATCACCTATATAAAAATACCTACCAGAGCACCTGGTATAGAGCAAGTGCTCAATTAAAGTTACCTGAACAGTAAACAACAAAGAAAATGGAAGTTGAGTCAAAAGAGGGATACTTATTTATTTTATTTTATTTATTTATTTATTTATTTATTTTTTTATAAAGACGGGGTTTCACCATGTTGGTCAGGCTGGTCTTGAACTCCTGGCCTCAGGTGATCCGCCCGCCTTGGCCTCCAAAGTGCCTGGATTACAGGTGTGAGCCACCACGCCCAGCCAAATTGGGATACTTATGTCAGACCGAAGAGCACATGCAACATTTAAAAGACCACAGACTTCATTAATGGAATTTTACTACTCTGTCTCATTTTAAAGTAATTCTCATCTTATATTTGGGTTACACGTAAAAGATTTTCTACTTTGGCAGGTTATCAGCAATGCTCAAAGAACTGTTTAACCAGACAGATTCCTCAGTTCATCACCAGCCTAGTAGGTTAGAATCTCAGGTGGGATCCAGAACCTGCATTTGAAAAAGTGCTCCAGGTGACGGTTCATTAATTAAGAGAATTCTCTTGAAGTCCTCATTTTGGTGGAGGGAGAATCAATGTGACCAGAATCCTTCTTAGATAACCCCCAAATAGAACAGATTCTAGTACCAACATTATGGGTGTTCTATTGTGTTTTCCTACAGTCCTTGTCCTGCAAAATGACTCTGAGGGATTCAACTGAGGGACTGGCCTTGGCTAAGATTGCCCATTTGCTTCCTTCTCAACGTGTAAAACTGGTGACTTGGAAAACTGTAGCGACATCCTGCAAATGTGTGTGTGTGCACGCGTGCATGTGAGGTCATGGAGTTCACAACATAACATTTCTTACATGGGGATTAAATGGTCCTAAGGATCAGGTGCTACATTATTCTAGTAGTTTTGGGAGCCATTTATGAGCATGTGTTTACTGTTCCATGGGAGGCAGAAGTAGCTTATAAGAGTTGATCTTTGTCTTTACTGGACAAGAAACTCAAGGAGAGTCAGAATGGGCAGAAGAACCACTGTGACTGTTGAATTCTGCAGAGATCATCATGGGCCTGGTGAAATGTTGTCTCCCTTTTGAAGAAAGAAGCCCAGCACAGAGCTGTCCCTTTTATGCTGAATGCTTCCTAGTTCTCATTCCACAGAAAAAAGGTAACAACCTTTCAGGAAAGAGAGAAAACAATTTTTTTTTTAAAAAAAGTCTAAAGTGATAAAAAGAAATACAGGAGAAAAAGGTCGAATGATGTCATTTGTACAAGTAAATTAGTTATAAGCTAGCAGCGGACTTAGTCTGAAGAAGAGGCTTTGCTGCTGGGCTGGTGGACGGTGCCAGGCATTCGGTATCCTCAACCTTCCCAGTCAGATGCCAGAGGCTTCGGCTCCTGTCAGTTTCTGTCAGGCCCTGAGTACAAATATGCTCTACATGCATCAGGCAAAGTAGAGAGAATGAACCAGAAAAAGCAAACAGTGGCTCTTTATTGGACCCTCATAGAGCCTGACAGGCCCTCCATGCTCTTCACCATCTGAGAAAGGTTCAGAAATAGGAAAAAATGAGATCACTTGAAAAATTTATCCTCATAGCATAAATCAGAATATTTTACTCTGCTTGAACTCACTGCAGGTGATAGTCAAGAAGAGACCCCCTGAGAAACTATTAAACATTTAGTAAGGCCAATTTCCATAGGAATTAGCTTATTGATGAGATCTACTAAAGCAGAGGTCTTCACAGTTTGTAGCTGTAAGAATGCACGCGTGGAAGAACATAGGCTTTTAAAAAGTGACTGTTCCAACAAAGTGACCAAGACCTTCAGTCCTCACTGAGCTTCTTTATCATATTTTGGAATAAAAGCCAACCTTTCAAGAGTCTATGGAGAGCCTTTCTTCAAAGAATGTTTTCTTGAAGCAGCATTTTATGGTCAACAGGCCCATTCTTCGTTGGTACCCTTCTCTATCTGATTTCCTCCCTCCCTCCCATTCAGCAAATATTAAAGTGCCCAGTATGTGCCAGGTATATTTCAGAAAACGCAGCAAACGAAATATGAAGACTCCTGGCCTCCTGGAGCTTACATTATCTGAAAGGATAATAGCAAATAATTGTACATTATGCTAGATGACAAATGCTGTGGAAAAAGAAAACATACAGTAGTATTAGGGGACTGGGAGTGCAGAAACATAAACTGAGAGGTCATGCAGGTCCCATAGAGAGAGAGATGTCATTTGCTCACGCGAGCAAAGACTTGAAGGAGATGCAGAAATGAGGTCAGCAGATATCTGGAGCAGGGAGAGTGATCCAGGCAAGGCTCAAGAGGGCAGGTATGCTTGGAGGAATTATCTAGTGCTGTGCTTCTCAAACTGGAGCAGGCATCAGTTCACACTGGGGCTGACGTTAAAGCGCCTACTGCCCCCCGTCCCACAGATTCTAATTCCATAGGTCTGGGTAAGGCCCGAGAACCTGCATTTCTTGCAAGTTCCTAGGGGATGTTGATACTGCTGATACGAGGATCACATCTGAGAAACAGTGACTTGATACATTATTTTTAAAACTCTGAGTTACTAAATAATAGTGAACCATTAAATCAATTTAATAGGTTTGACCAGCAATTTTAAAAAAAGAAACAGAATAGGAAATGTTGGAGCCCATCATGTTCAATGAGGGTAAGTACTGTTTTATGAAACTTTTATTTCAGTTGTAAATAATGTGTGAACTGTATCATGTTGTAAAATGTATTTTTTGCTGTGGGTGGTAGTCTAAAAATTTGAAAGCCACTGGACTAATTACTGTATCATTAAGTAACACAAGCCACATTGATACAGCAGAGAGAATGAGGGGAGTCCTATTGTTCCAGTAGGACACTAAGCTGAACTTGCCTTGGACCTTCTCTTGTAGTCACACACAGATTCCCCCGCCTGGATTTCTCTTTCATCTTGGCTTTATGGAAACCTTTAAGACAGAGAAAGTCAAGTCCAGGTTTCTCTTAAACCTTCCCTGACGAGCTCTTTCCAGCGGTGTCTCTGTTCCTTCTTCCAGAACTTCTGCACCATTCATTACAGGAAGCATAAACTGCCCTGCTCTATTCAGCTGTGCAATGCGAGGCTGTGCCTTTCTCTCCTCAAAGTTGATACATTTTTCTGAGGGGAGGGGTAGTGTCTTACACACTTCTGCTTCCCCAGCATCCTAGCAATGCTATGGTCAATGCTATGGAAGGAAGAAACAAACCACATTTGTAAGAGATGCTTGTTTGTATATTACAGGTGATACTGGTGATGATCATGATGATGAAAATTAATGTAAAGGGACAGATGAGTGCACATATCCTGAGAAGCAAATCTGGGGACAGCAGGGAAGGGTGGTAGAAACAGGGCCAAATACTGGAAAACCAACTGGCAGGGAAAGCCTGGTGGTAAGAGACCCTTCGTCTTCCACTCAAGAGCCTGGGCTCAGGGGGCTTTGGGACAGCATGCCATGGAGAAGAGCCTCACTCTTCACTACAAAGAGTCCCTCCTTTAATGTTCCGCACTAATGCCATGCGGTGAATAAGGAGAGTTGAAGGACCAAAGGAGGAATCAGGAGTTTGGCTGAGAAGAAGGCGAGAAATAGGAACCCAGAGGCAGAGCGGAGAAGTTAATTTACCCCACAAATATGTACTGAATGAGAGGAGTGTGCTGGGGATGGTTTTTGCTATAATGGAGGGACCTACGTGGTGCCACAGCAATGTGGAGAAAACCACCTGAGTGTGTGCGGGTGAATCGGAGTGGGCTTCATAGAAAGTGGGGAGCATGACTGGCTCTCCTGACAGGCCACAAAATGTGAGAAGCCAGAAGCTGCATGCACAAAGGCCTGGCATGCAAGGACTCTGTCCATCTGGTGATTGGCCAGCGGCTGATAGGGTTAGAGCATGGGATCCATAGGAGGAAAAAGAACAAAACTTAAGTCAGGAGCTAGGCCATGAAGTGCCTTGCATGCTGGATCAGAGCAGGGTGTATGGGCAGCAACAGGGCTAAGGATAACTGGGATGAAGAAGGACGTGGAAGTGGGGATCCTGATTAGGAGTTTATAGCAACAGATGGCGGGGGAAAAGTGGAGAAGCCACATGGGAGGGTGGCGATGTGGAGGAAAAGGAATGACTTGAGAAATGGAATGTCTAGAGCTTGGAATATAATAGTCCTTTTGAGTTAGAGGGAGGATGCTGGCTATTCATATTTCCACAGGTAGCGATACCCGAGGAGCACGGATGTGGGGGGAGGCAGGAGAGAGCGACTGTGGGCATGCAACGCTTGTTTCTGTGGGACTCCAAGGGGACCAAGCAAGGCACTCAGGAATCTGCTCTAGGGGTAGAGAACTGCTTAGGGTGAGATAGGGAAGAGACCCCCGAATCGGAGAAAGGGGAAAGGTTTTAAGGAAGTTAATATTAAGAAGCTGTGAAAAACCTCTTGAAATCTCAGTTAGTGTAATTTTCTATATTTTTCTTTTCTTTTCTTTTCTTTTGAGACAGAGTTTTGCTCTGTCGCCCAGGCTGGAGTGCAGTGGCATGACCTTGGCTCACTGCAACCTCTGCCTTCTGGGTTCATGTGATTCTCTTGCCTCAGTCTCCCAAGTAGCAGGGATTATAGGCCCCTACTACCATGCCTAGCTAATTTTTGTATTTTTAGTAGAGATGGGGTTTACTATCTTGGTCAGGCTGGTCTCGAACTCCTGACCTCGTGAACCACCTGCCTTGGCCTCCCAAAGTGTTGGAATTACATGCGTGAGACACCATACCCAGCCAATTTTCTATATTTTTCTTTATGCAACTAAAGACAACCATGAAAGTATTTTAAAAAGTGGATATAAAATGAAGGCTTTAAAAATCATTTAGTGTGAAACTGGTAATTACTTTTAATTCCTATGACTTATCAAGTGTCTTAAGTTAATGAAAAGTTTCGTTAAGGTCAATAACGTATTATTCCATGCTTTCTTATTTACACTAAAAGGTAAGTTACTTCTGGTTAACTCCCCTTGAAAAGCACGACCTAGTTTTCAAACAGTAGATTCGGTAA